TGCACCACATCAGTGACATGCTGGAACTAACAGTGGGAACGATTCAGGTGGCACATGGAAGTGCATTCCTTACAAATGTGCACTCAGCTCTTCTCATAGTATGCTGCACCACATCAGTGACATGCTGGAACTAACAGTGGGAACGATTCAGGTGGCACATGGAAGTGCATTCCTTACAAATGTGCACTCAGCTCTTCTCATAGTATGCTAAGGGACTGGAATGGACCTTAGAGATCATCTAATCCCACTACCCTGGGACCTCCCACCAGACCAGGTTGCTCAAGGCCCCATTCAACCTGCCCTTGAACACTGCCAGGGTTGGGGTAGCCACAGCCTCCCTGGGCAACCTGTGCCAGTGTCTCACCACCCTCACAGGAAAAAAAAACCTTCTTCCAAATAGCTAATTTAAAGTTCCCCTCATTTAATTTATCTCCATTACTCCTTGTCCTATGACCGTAATTCCTAACAAAAAGTTCCTCTCCAACTTCCCTGTAGAGGAATCTGTGTTCACATAGTGTAGTTTCATAGTATGAAACTATGACTTTATAGGAATGCTTCAGTCTCCAGCACTGAAGGGAATAATTATGTCCACACTGTACTGATTCAGAGGAGTAGAATAAGACTCCCACCCATTTCTATACCGGATTTGAGTTCTTCAGGCATGTCCTACTGGTTTAACAAACAATTAGACATGAATCTAGAGGAAGTGGCCCTAATTGCCTATCAAGAAACAACAATATTTCTGCTAACAGCTTACTCCTGACTTTTCACAAGCCATCAGAGGGGAAAAGACCAGATCTGTGCTTCACACCTTACTCCATTCTAGTGTCCTGCTTTGCTTCTCCAACATAAAATAAAGAAATAACTTCAATGCCACAAAAAGCCTGACTCAAACCCTCAGTTCTACAACTGTCTCAGCTACACAGGGCTCAGCAGGCACATTCCGGGTCACATGATTGAGCCCTCTTTGGTCACTCTCCTGTCCATGACCACAGAACTACACAGATGCCACCCTGAAATACTTCTGAAACAGCAACTATGCACTTTACAAAACAAAATACCTCAACAGTGCTTTCTGGTTCACTCTTCCAGTTAATTTTGCAGTTGCTTGCAAAAAGAAAGCAAAACCTCCATGGCAAAGGTAAAAGCTGGGACACAACACTCAGTCCAAGGAAGGGAGCAGGAAACCAGAGCTCTCGTTGGTGGCTCTTGGCTCTGGATGTGCTTTGCCATGTGGTGCAGGAGCCTCACCAGGCAGTGAATCATACTCAAATGAACAAATGTTTCCCTGTGAGTTCTCATCTTTGCAATGCTGTAGTTGCCACATGGATGTTATGCAAGGGCTGAAGAGGGTACAGAGCTCACACCAAGGAAATGCAACCATCATGAGGCACAAGAGAGCTGATCCACACTGCAAAACCTGGAAGATAGTTTAGGGAGGAGGACAGGATTCAAGTTAAACCTCATTACTGTCTACTAATGAGCTGTGGCATTGAGCTTAACTTTTAAAGAGATATTGCAGAAGAGTGTCTGAAACAGAAGGTCAGGAACACCAGTCCCTGCGATGTCGAGAATTTCACAAGCCTGTGTTCCACTTTGCCAGCCTCAAGCACTGTAAGTACTGGTAAAAACTGCCTATCTGCCTCAAAAATAATGTACTGTAATACAAAAATAAAATAAGTACTGTACAATCACTACATATTATAATCCTCAAGACAGCAGCTTTCTAAGGAGACTTTGTTCATGTACTTAGATGCTTTTATAAAGAAAACTTAGGTTTTTCATCTTCACTTTATGACAAAGCAAACAGTATTTTTCCTTACTGGACATTAATGGATATAGATGCAAATGAACTGATTCACTTTTAAATTCTAGCACTCAGACATTCATTTTCCTGGGCTAGCTGAGGAAAAAAAAATTGTACTATGACAAGAAGTTCAGCCAAATGAAACATGCATCTAAAGTACTGAAAAATACCACATTTGTTTAATCAAATATATATAAACTATAAACAGCTATGCAAGAAACCTGGAAGTCAGTTTCATACAATTAATTAGTGTTAGCAGCACTGCTCAAGGTTTTCTGCAGAGAAATGAAACAATAAGTTCTCC